GTATAAGAGACAGCGTTTGGTGCAGTCAAACTTGATGAAAATGAAAATCAAAGTAAATGATATCAAATCATATCAAGTATATATATATATATATATTTTTTTTTTTTTTTTTTTTTTTTTTAATCCGTCCGTTTAGTTTTACTGCTAAATTGCGGCTGATATGCAAAATAAAATGCAAAAAATAGAAAATCAACTACATACAGTACACAACAAATGAACCTACTTTAAATATTAAATGACAACAAAAAATTGTATGCACGTAGGTTTGTTTTATGGGTCAAAGTTCCATCACCACTTGTCCTACACGTGATGATGAAGTGATAGGTTACGTAAATAAGCAGATTTTCCAAAACAAAACCGGATATCTACTACTGCACTGACAATGTTTGTTTACATGCATCAGTATAGCCATATATCTTTTGGAGGATTTTTTTTTTTTCTCAGGCCGATTTGCAATCCTAAGCGTCATCTATTATTACGAAAGCCTATTCGTGCCACTTAAGTATATAAAATCATCAAAATGTAATCCGAAATTTCGGATTAGTAATCCGAAATAACGGGTTAGTAATCCGTTATTTCGAATTAGTAACTCGTTATTTCGGATTAGTAATCCGAAATAACGAATTAGGCCTACTAATTAAAAATTTCGGATTAGTAATCCGAAATAACGAATTACTAATTCGAAATAACGAATTACTTAATTCGAAATTGGGATTACTAATTCGAAATAACGAATTACTAATTCGAAATAACGGATTACTAATCCGAAATAACGAGTTACTAATTCGAAATAACGGATTACTAATCCGTTATTTCGGATTACTAATCCGAAATTTCGGATTACATTTTGATGATTTTATATATACTTAAGTGGCACGAATAGGCTTTCGTAGATTTTAGTTGTAATTCCATTTACCGGTTCTGTATTTTTATAGGGCCTTTAACAATATATGCAAAATCTTGAAATGGGGCTGTAAATTGGTGGTTAAGTTGCTTGCCTTTTAAGCCGAGGGGTCATCAGTGTGAAACAAATTTAATTTCTACTGCTCGCGTGTAAATTATCAAATTAAAAAAAGTCTTGTTGAATGTGTATTAACTGCTTTTTTGTCAGTGATAGCTAGGATTTTCACGCCGGTGATGGGGTGGGGATAAGCTATTCGACAGGTTGTCTGACACATACACATTCGGAGACTATTCTGCCCTGCTCTGAGAGAAAAGGCATTAAGTAACAAAATCATAGTTTTGAGTAAATGAGCAAAACGCGTTTGAGTTTTTCCCAAGAAAAGTACAAATGATTTCAAATTTTTTTAACTATGGTTTGCTTAGATATATTATTAAAACATTTGCCACATACTTTTCATTGATTAATTTTATTATTAAGGTGGCCAAAATGGAGATAATGCTTTTTTTCAGAGTATTTATAACTATGGAAAATACTTTTGAAATCGGGCATTATCTGCAAAAGTGTTTATAAACATGCATTAATAATTAATTTATTGAAATGTATGTAATTGTGTACATGAGGAAAATGCGTTGAGGGGAGGGGGAAGGAGCCGGTGTTGTGAAGGGGAGGGGTGAGGTAGGATAGAGTGAAAATATTTTAAACTTATTTTATTT